AAAAATGGAAACGTTATTTCCTGTGCCCATGAATGCTATGGAAACCATAAATCTAGAAGTGCAAGATGGAGAGACAGCCGAGGCCATGAAGCATAGATTAAATAAAGAGTTTGATGCATTGTATCCAAGAGAGTCCACCCCAACCTATGATTTGATCAAAAAAATGTTCTATCAGCGGATGCTAAGGGAGCTACCAACAGCTGAAAAAGAAAAACACATTCTGAATTTGGATACTGACTCGCCAGCTTTTGTTAGGTCATATTGTACTATTAAAAAGCTACTTCGGAAGAAAAACAGCCCCAAAACTGATGATAGTTTGTCACTGATTAAGGAATTAGTTAAAGAGATTAAAAAATCTGAACCAAAGCCAGAAAAAGTGGAGAAAGCAGAAATGTTGTTTAGTGGTAATCCAAGTCCACTGCAGCCTCAGACGCAGACACAGGTGATGCAACCACAGCAGATTATACAGACTGGACAAATACAGCAGCAACCAGAGTATGAATGGCAAATGAATGGATACATGCCCTATGGAAATCAGGGACAGAGGTTCCAGACATTCCCCAGGAATAGCAGAGGTAGAGGTGGTGGACAATTTAGACAGGACAGAGATTTATCAAACATGAAGTGTTACAGGTGTGGACGGTACGGACATATAGCAAGAAACTGCAGAACGGGAGGAATGCAACACATGCAGGGTCAGGGAATTCAGCAGCAGTTTCCATTTCAAACATACCAACAACCACAAGTGTACCAGGGACAACCACAACAGCCATACCAACAACCACAAGTGCACCAGGCACAACCACAACAGCAATACCAGCAACCACAAATACACCAGATGTATCAGGCACCTCAACAGGTACAACCACAACAGCCAATGGTCTTGGGCCAACCACAGCCACAGTATATGACCACTCACCAGATGACAGAGTCAAGACCAGAGGTCGCTGCTCATCAACTCAGTTTATTACCGAAATGAAGAGGCCATGGTCCAGATAGAGAGGGATGCATTAACGTGGCTCCAAAATTTATCACAATAACAATTGAGGGACAGCCTCAGAAACTGTTGGTAGACACTGGAGCAACATTTAGTTCATTAAAATGCAGTCTAGAGCCCTCTCAAAAGTGGAAAATCGTGTCTGGATTCAATGGTTTGGCTACAAGAGTTTTTTACTCAAAACCTCTAGACTGCACAGTTACCTATAAATCAGGAGTAAAGCAGACTTTCCAACATGAATTTCTAATAGCCCCAAACTGTCCCCACAACCTAATGGTAAGGGATTTGATAAAACTTTTGAAATTGGATATTTCTTTCCAGAATGAAATTGAAGTGTCAAATGAGTTGGGCATGTTAATACAGGATTGTGGTCTCGAAACTGAACTGTTGCTCCAGCAGGAACAAAAACTTAAAACACCAAAAATTGACGATAACATAGCCACAGTTTTTTGGATAGAGGGTAGTGAAGAATCCAATGACACATTGCATGAACTAGTTAAGCCATTTTTGCCATGGATTACTGAGAGATGCAAGGACTTGCGGTCTCCAGTAGATGTCGTACACTGTACACAGGCATATTTTAGGCATCCAGAAGATCAACAATCATATGACAACTATTTGATTGAGTGGGAAATGTACAAGACTAGTGCATGCCAGACACAGGGAGTAGAAGATCCTAAAGTGACACAAAAGCTGAATTGCGTAGTGGTGGGAGAACATGGGGTGGCGTTTGCTAACACAAATTCCAACACAGACACACTCCCAATATTTAGGGTTGACAAATCCACACCACATGTAACAATGATGATTGAGTCCAAAGCAGAGGCCAAGAACTTAGGTCCAATGTGTGCACTGATATTGGCCAGTAATTTAAAACCAATGTGTGTGCAACAGGGACAATTACAATACATTGTACTGCATAGTGAAACCACAGGAGGTTATGTGATCAAATTCAATGACCCAATTGAATATAAAGCCACTATGCAGGAAGTACAGAGAACAAGGACACATGGCAGGGAAAATACCAATTCAAGCCTATTTGAAGAGCAGAAACACACTTTACCTGAGAGGCTATGGACAAAACATGCATTTGACATCGGGAAAGCAGAGGGAATCCTGCCAATAAAACTACTGTTTGATGACCAAGTGTGTTACCAGAAGCAGTATCCCATTAAAGCAGGACTCCAGGACAAATTGAAGTACACAGTCTCAGAATTGGTGAAGGCAGGAATAATTGTTGAAGCGCCAGAGTATACGCCATACAATATTCCAATGTTGGCAGTAGACAAGGCAGGAAAACCATACTGCAGACTAGTGAATGACTTCAGGAAATTAAATGAGAGATCACAAGACAAACTATTGGACACACCTGACCCACACAGAGCAATGGCATTCTTACCAGCGTCTCATAAATGGTTTACCACCATTGATTTATGTAACGCATACTTCTGCATCCCATTGCACCCTGAGTGCTGGAAGTATCTGGCATTCACAGTCGAGGGGAAGAAGTATGTGTATACGCGTTTACCACAGGGTCACTGCGCTGCACCTGGGATCTTTAACAAATTGATCCAGGACGTGCTCTCTGAGATTGACATTGACCCAGACAAAAACTTTGTTCTGGCCTATGTAGATGATATTCTAATCTCAGGAGTATCTGAAGAGGCATGTACAGAAATCACTATGAAAGTCCTTAGAGTAGTGGCAGAAAAGGGATTCAAAATTGATTATGACAAGTGTGCATTTGTAAGACAGAGAGTATCTTTTCTAAATACTTATCTCACTTCAGAAGGAGTCATGTGTGACCAGTCAAGACTGATCAAACTATCAGAGTTTCCCAAACCAAAAACAGTGAGAGAAATGATGTCCTTCATAAATATGGCAAGCTATATCAGGAAATATATTTTCAACTTCTCCTACATGATGAAGCCCATGCAGAAAATGTTGACTGATGTAGGCTACACAGATTATGATGGGATCTTGACATGGACTGAGGAGCAAGCACAGGCATTTCAATCAATCAAAGAAAAACTATCAATGGTGCAGACTTTACACTGCGTTGATAGGAAATACCCAATTATGATGGAAATCACAATGACTGGAGATTATTATTGTGCAGTGTTGTTTCAGAAAATAGCAGATGCACCCAAAATATTGTACATATTCAGCTCCAATCTCAGAGGATCAGAAGCACACCACTTCTCATGTGCACGTTATGTAATGGCCCTTAAGAACTCACTGGTTTCCACATCACACATAATCTTGGACTCAGAGGTGATAGTGAGAACGCCACATAACATGTATGCAGCTTTGAAGGGGAACACATTTGCATTGACAAATTCAATGTCTCAAAAGATTCATCTGTTACTACGTAAATATGCAAGTTACATTTAAACCAACAGACTCT